GTGTAAACTTGTTTAATAAACCATATCTTTCATTTTCGATTTTTAATTCACGTAGTCCGGGAACTTTCCGGACAAACTGTGTATATTTGATATCTTTTTAAAATTCTTTTAATATATCTATGATATTTTATTTTATATATAGTTTATATAGTTTTTATGTAATTTTTACACAGTTTACGTATTATTTTGTATTCTACAATATACATACAATAATAAACATTTTATTGTAATATTATATTACAATAGAAAACTGAGAATATTTATACATGTATTTGCGTATATATTTATATGCGCCTATGTATGCGCATACATATGCGTATGTGTGTGTAATAGTTACGCAAAATCTCTAAGTCAAAGATATCGAGAGATCTATCTTATATTCTCTCAGTTCTATTATTGTTTCTTATGTTCATGAAGAATGACAGAAACACATGCCGTTGACTGCCGTTAGAAAGATTCGTTCGTTTCGATGATTGAAACAAGCACATTGAATCACGTAATTGTAGCTGCGACGGATTAGAATCGAGCAAATTGATGGATAAAACGGGGTTAAGCGCTCTGCGGACATAATATCTGCTGAGGACTTTAGCGGAAAAGCAGATGCTCCTGATTAGCATGAATAATTCCCTTATCGATATCTTAATTAGACGATAGACTAGTAAAAAATGTAAAAGCATATATCTTGCGAATTCTGAAATACATCATCGAACAAAATGTTTAAATTTCTTCCATTTAATTATAGTAGAAGTAAAGGAGAAAGAGAGAAGGAAAGACAAAACGCTAATTAACTTGATATGCTTTCTGTTAATTAGCAATCTTGAGTTTTTATACATATGCATGTATATATATACAATATAAATATCTAGACTTATTCGATTATATATTTTATCTAGACTTTTATCTAATCTAAACTTTTTTATTCGATTTTTCTTCCTATTTTTCTCTATCATTATGTCTGTGCTCTTCGTGTGCACACGGTAGATATCTAGTTAGTCAAGTCTTCCTAAAGAGATTAGAATAGTTGTGATTAATTATCGCGAGCGACGAATAATCTAGCGATCAACGAGCCATGAAATTAGATCAGTCTTTAATTGACGCCGTTGTCGTAAATAGATGTTACGACAATAACAACAGAACAGTATAACGATCCTGCGTACAAGACTCTCGGGTTAAATGTGGACGTATCATCAGACACCTTTCGACGATCGATACCGAGAGATCGTCAAGATGATTGAATTGAGTTTTCGTATGTATTAAACTACTATTATCGCATTTGTCTAATTAAATGTGTGTGTGTGCGTGTTTAGAAAAACAAATAATATTCATGCGGTTTGTACACTGATGAAGATCCGAAACGATAGGATCGAGACGTCTGAAGTTTTTTTTGTATTCAACAAAAACAACGGACGCATCTTGTGGTTTTGCTCGCATCTTCTCAAATATCTTGTTTCATTCATGCATTACCTCAATATTATCAAGCAGTTTGCAATAAAACCGAACGATATCGTGATATAAGTGTTATTGAGCTTGTTTGCGAGTTTATTGTGCGCAAGCACGTTAATGCCGAGCGTTTCTTAAGACTGGTAAAAATTAACGCTTACGAGAACGTTTGCTGCACGAATCAACTATTGCGACTGCCATCGTAATTCTCACGCGGCGTAACATAAAGATAATCGCGCGATAATTTAATTGTAGAAAACGCGAGAGATTTCCCCGAGGAAATTGTTCGCGATGCCTCTTTCGCCTTCGAGAAGTTTTTCTTGCAGAGCTCGAATAATAAATGTTATTAAGACGCTACTTTCACGAAAATTGTGAAATTTTCACAAACGCCTCGAAGAGAGTGAGATTTCGAGAGCAAACCGCACATAAAGACGGTGAGTTTGCGAGTATACGTGTGATATTGTTGCGGACATGAAAGCGAATTTGAGAAAAGAATAAGCATTTCAGATAAACCTGTAAAGAGAGAGAAAGAAAGAAAGAGAGAGAGAGAAAGAGCAAGCACCACGGATATCTCATTACACTCGCGGATCATTAATTTCAATCAAAGTTTTAGAATTAAAAATGAAAAAGATCTTAATAATTTTCGGATTTCAAAAATAATTTGATTCGTATTTTTGTTCCATTTTGTTTTCAAGGATTCGCGTTTTAAGAAATATGTCATAAAAAATATGATAAACACTGACATTTCTTTGAGAAAAAAATCGCACAAATTAAGCAGAGGCAAGAAAAATTGATCGTTAAAAAGAAAGAAGGCTTTTGCCTTTTCCTTCGCTTTGCATCTTAGCTGTAGGTAAACGCCGTATAAATTGGACGTATCCCGGACACGCGTCTTTGATATTGGACTCGCACCCTACTCCGCGGAAACCATACGGGGGGGTCAGCTGTCGCTTTCGTTTCTGCCAACTCTCTAAAAATACGAGTAGCCGCTTCTCTCTGTCGCTAATCTTGCGAATCTTGTTCCACAGAGCTCTGATTCAACTATAGGAACTTCTCGGCTAATTTTAACCGCCGAATAGTGTTCGCGCCGAACGCCTTGTCCGTTCGCGGAACTACGCGGCCTTGATGATTGGTCGGATAAACGTGGAGAGAGTATCTCGCGTGAATATAAAAAAAAAAAAGTAAAATTTTGAAATATATCAAATAACAGAAAAAATTCTTCATTGATAAATTACGCGTTTGAATTTGTTTTTTGTTTTTTTAGTTTTTGCTTTGCTACATTCGACCAAATTATTGTTATTTTTCTCAAAGAATTATCGTTCTTGCGAAATGAAACAAGACAGGCGAAAAAATCACGGTCTCATTTCTCAAGATTGATCGGTATCGTTAGCAGCAAGATGAGACGCAACTCTGAGCAATTCCACCGTCGTGGCGATGATGACGACCGATATCGTTTTCGGAAAAGGGAGTAGGACGTTCAGAAGCGGGACACAAAAGTCGCGCAATTATGCAAATACGTTGTGGCGAACCGACTATACTACAATTCCGAATGGAATAGTCGTTGTTTTCTTCGCATCGCGAACAGTACCATCTGCTGTGTTTCGCACTCGGTCGTTATTACGTACAACTGACTCTAATCCGATCTCATTTCCTGACCGTTCCACTTCGCGGGGGCAACGAAACTGAGCGTAACCATCACCGGCGCGACCCACTTGGTAAATAAAAGTTTCAGCGACAAATGTGCGTGCCAATTTTCCAACGTGTATCCCCGACACGTTTCCGTCGCTTAGCACTTCAGCAGCTTTTTACCCGAACCCCGTGCGGCTCGAGCAAGTTATACGGATTGTACGGTCGATTCGTGAAGTTGTTTACCCGTTTCTCAACTCGATTGGATCAATCCTTTCATGTATGTAATTACTTGATTTGCCGCGAAGGATATTTTTAGAGATCCGTTCCGTCGACGTATTTCAACGATTGTGTCGTCGCTGTATCCTACATTGTCACGTGAGTATACATGCGCACGGTGCTCAAAAATATACCCGGGAAAAAAAAAAAGATTTATTGACTTCGGAGATGGAAACGAGAAGGAACGTTTGTTTTCGACGAAAAATCCTCCGGCTATTTTGCTATTCTCTGTGACGACGCGATCAAATATAAAAAAATGCGTAAAATCACATCTCAAATCAAATGACTGAACTAGACCGATATCGTATCATCGATCGCTCGACATTATTAAGGCGGGCGATATTGCGCGGCGCGTTAATTGAAACAAATAACCTTCTCGGGTCTGATGTAAAATATTGATTTTTTTAAAGAAGAAAACGTTGAGTCAGGCTAAAAGATATCGAAAACTTATACATATCTCAAAATATTAATATTATATTTTCACGCGAAATATATGCCGTGCCGAGAGTTCCTTCCCCTCAATTTGCTACGAGACATCAGCATTTCTTCGGGCTCCACGTCGAAGACTTATCGAAAAAGTTTTTTTCTTGTAATTCTTGTTTTTCTCTTGTACTTCTCGAGTGGCTTTTCTCGTTCGAAAGTCTCTGCCGCGGTCAAACACAAGTTAACGGAATCACGGTTAACGAAAAGGAAAGGATACGTCGATCGTCGATCGTTTTAATAAAGCGGCGGATTAATCCTCGACGTACCGTGAAAAAAACGCGCTGTTCGCAAACTGAAAATTGCGACCAGGTGCGTTGCGCGCATCTTGCAAATCAACTCCAGAATGCACTCAACGCGGGTTGTCATTACTCTCGATCGTTTTCGTAATTTGGTTCGTCCATAGAAAATTGATTCAAAAGCGTTTGATGTAATTCTGATGACGAATATTTCTGAGGAATTAAAAAAAAAAAAAAAACAATTAAGAGAACACAGTAATTAGCAAAAGTATCTCGCGCGATGCATTGCGGATTTGTGTAAAATTCCACTTGTATGAGATTTCAATACGAACGCGAACAAAATTTCCCCTTGGAACACAAAACTCGTTTCTCTAAAGGGCAATGAAATTTGCATTGGAAAGAAGCCATTAGTTTAATTAGATCAACGTGACGCTCATCGGACGGAATAATTGTGTTGAGTTTGAAATCGCATTTCATATATTAGATTTCGATTCTATAATTAAGTTGCAGAATGTCGCTATTAAAATATTATTCGGTTGTTGGACCGCTTTTTGTTGATCGAATGTGTGCGCGCGTGTGTGTTTGCACAGTTGAGTGAAATAATGTTTCGCGTAAAGTACGAACAAACTGCGTGAGTTTCTGTTCGGACGTGCGCAAATATCGCTGTTACGCAACATTATCAAAGAGACGGCCTGCCATGGCGCGTTCCTAGACACCGACACTTGCCAAGACCGAAAGGCGGGAGAGCATTTGTTCGACTTCACGTGAAAAATACCGGTTCGTAACTTTCTTCCGTTCGACGACGTCGAACCGAAGGGAAAGACTGCTTAAAAATAAATGGACCAACGATCGACCGCTTCGCAAGAATAGATCAGCTCGGAGCGAATTAGCTTTAAACGACATGTGTACCAGCGGGTAACGCGCGGAATAATTTATAGTTGACGGTAGTCTTCTCGTCTGTATTAATTATAGGACAAATGATTATATAAGTCTCTTATTTCTATTTTCGCACATTCGGTAATTTCTTTTTATTATTGTACGCATGTGTGTACGTAGATGGTTGTTAAAAAATAATTTAAATTTACCATCGTAACCACACTTGTGTTTTATTTTTATTTATTTTTTATGAAACATTATGACGGGTGTTAGATATATATCGAAAATAAAATATTTTTGATTGACATCTTCCGTTAAGCTTTTTGTTTTGTTGATGAGAATAAAAATATAGAAAAAAGATACTGAACCATATTTTATTCGAATGAGGATATACGACTATCAATGTCATGTCATCTGCAGTTACGCAGACCGGCGGCTTCTGACACGGTCAAAACTCAACGTTCATATTTTATGTGCATTTCCAATGTGATATCTATAACGTTAATTTGTACTCGATTTCGTATTCATCCGAGTTTCACGATATCAGAAAATCGCAAGATCTCTTATAATTAGTCTTCGGTTTATACGCTCGTAATATTCTCTTCTCTCTCTCTCTCTCTCTCTCTTCTTCTGTGACAACTTCTGCGATTTCGTAAATTAACTCTCTCTCTGACATTAAAGTAAGTTACTATAACATTGCAGCAAAACCATATAGTATACGTACATACGTATACCACACGACGTGATTACGCTGATGCCTGTTGACGAAGTTTACATCAGAGGTACCTGCAAGAGGTTCAATTTAATCTGTTAACACAATAAACACAATAAACAGTTAGAACGATTGTAACTACATCGAGTGTGATTTCAAGCAATGTATCTCACGCGTATGATTTATCTTTTTTAGATTAACCGTACTATAAAAGATGACATCATTCTATTATGGATAATAATGCAGTTACAGTAGATTGAAATAAATATGACGTAATGCGTCTTATATTATTTCTATGGGAAAATAATAATAAGAGATTTGTATATAAACTCAAATTTGAATAAAACAACAGTTTCTATTCCAGCTATCTCCGTCTAAACACTTTGAGCTCAAATTTATACTTGATATTCCTCACGGAAGATTGAATAGCAGTGGACAAAAGACATACGGGGTGCTCATGGAAATTTGGCGGGTGAAAAATATCGATCTTATTCGAGAAAAATGTAAAAGGGAACCAAGTAGAAAAATGCGAAGCTTTTCTCACAGCTATGAAAAAACATTGGGATACGATCGGTATTCATCACACGCAAGACGCTTGAGAATATCAGAGAAATATGTATCGCATCAACTTCATCGTAATTTTTTTTTTTTTAAATTTCGACGTATGTGCGTGTGTTCGCACAATAAATCAATTCAAATAAACGTGATCTGTGACTGCAACATTGAGTATTCGGGACAACGGTTTTCTCTCGGAAAGAGATTACAATGATATCTGATTGGCGATTTGAACATTAAATCTTCTTCTCTGTAAACATGCATGTGCGCGGTGCGTGACGATTTTATTTCTAAGAAGCGTCGATTTAAGAGATACGCGTGCACACAAATGCAATACTCAGACGTAGTTAAAGTAATGTCTCGCATCCGCTTTTGGCGACAATGGGTTATTCCTCATCTTCTCGTTTAACATGCAAATGCGGTGCGACCGGGTTTGTCGGAATTTAGTTACGTATGTATGTATAGAATTGTTGTGCGAAACTTTGATATGTACACAATACTTGTACGAAACTTCACCAGACATCGGAAATAGGAACGAGTGCTTTATGAATGTAAAGGGAAAAAAAAAGACAGATCAAAGAGTGGATTTTACTGTTTTATAAATAATTACGTGCAAAATTTCGAGCGATGTGGAAAAATGGAATTTTATAAATATTAGATGAAACTCTCGTTCGTTCAATTTTGCAGCGTGCTTGCTAATCCAATGGCATGTACCGTGGTTTATCGTGATCATTCAAAAAATGCATCACCGTAAATCACGAGTGATGTTAACCATAAAGATCTCCCGAGAGCTTTCCCGATCTAATACTCGGACTTTATTTTGATTTACACGTGAGGTTAAAGCCGAGAGGGTTAGTGGCGTCGTGTATTAACGTAATCGCTACCACGGACCCTTGAAGCGATTGCCGATTATTTTTGCCAAACGAGAAAAGGCGAGCGGCGAGAAACGTCGAAATAGCTTTTGCTCTTTTGCGTCACGCGACAGTTTTGTCTACGCGACATTTTCGTTTCCTTACAAGGAAAGGCCGGGATCCAGGGAAAAGAATCAGAATCAAAGAGACGAGGTAGGTAGTTCCGACACGTTTTGTTCAATATATAAATAAGATAAAGGAAGAACAAGACTGAGACACGAAATTGGGCCAACAATCGTAAAAGGGACATCTGAAAATACGATGTACATACACGAAACTCGCCATCATAAAACCGGGACATGTCGAAATGACACGTGCGAAGGAAAATACAAAACGTCAGAAAAATACTAAAAAAAAAATATTAAATCCCTAGAAAAAACATGAAATCCTAAAGTTTTGCGCGTTTTGAACAACTATAATAATATATAAATATTATCTTTATATCTTCTGTATTTTAGTTCCCTTTTTTTTTCTATGTACGGTTCGATTTCCTTCTGGTACATGAAAAATTGTTTATCTCGGTTTTCTTGACTCATTGTCCTTCATTGTTCGGAAGCAAAAAAAGAACAAGGGGCTGGGAATAGATATAAGAAACGTGTGTGTGTGTGTGTGTGTGTGTGTGTGTACATGCGTGCGCGCGCGATGATGAGCGCGAACGTCAAGTCGCAAAGTCTTATAAAGAGAGAAAGAGACGAGCAAAAGAGCGTGAAGTTGAAGTTCGAGAAGAGAAGAAGAACACAGAAGAGGAGACGAAAAGAGCCGGCACACAGACGAGAATGCGCAGGCGGCGTTCAGTGCCAGGGTCACTTTCGTCGACGCGATGCGTCGCGACGCCACGGAACCTCTTCTCCTAGCTGGACGCGTTTAGTGCGCCGCGAGAGCGCGAACCGCGTGTTTATTTCACGCCGGAGTGTGATATCACACCGTGATCTCCAGTCCAGTTCCAAAAATCTCCGGAGAAAACGAAAAATGAAAAGTGTCGCGAACAAGTGCCGTAGAGTTCAAAGGTGCTGATGAAATAAAAAATAAAAAAAAATAAAAAAAAAACACAGTCGGCGATTAAAGACTTAAGGAATTTCTGCAAGATGATTATTAACAAACGATCTCTCTGCGATAAAAATCATTAACACACTCAGTGATCTCTAGGCAAAAGAAAAAAAAATGGATCTCCGAGTTTGTTAATTGATCCAACATGATTAACAAGAGAACAATGAGCGGAATAGTTGACCGCCAACAAACGATACTTAATATCGAACTTATTAATCAGTGGTTACCAATATCAACGACATTAATATCGAGTGATTATCCGAACTGTTAATGATCGATAGCTATACTATCATTTCTCTGTATGTGTGCTTTTAGTAGTGGGTCAATATATTCAGCGTATTGAATCTTACGCAAATGTTATTAATGGAATATATTAAATATCATTAAACTAAAACACCCTAAAACAAATTACCTGATTTGATTAATATATATGTTTGAAACGTTTAAATAAATTTGTTTCATTCAATAAAAGTGATTGGAGTTCATTTTGTTCGAAATTTTTTCGAGAGAAAAATAAGTAAATACAAGTATGTTACATTAATAATTACATTACGCGTGACGCACGAGAAGTGAGACTTGAATCAGTGAGATCGAGCGACGTGAACATCATATCGCTCGTTTCCGTTTGCCTCGACGGCAAAACTTCTCGTCCGCGTTTGTAAAAGCACAAAGCGAATATCATCAACACAGCAAAACACAAACGGGAAATTATTATTAGACAGTTATTACAGAAATACACACCGGGGAAAAGGAATAAATCAACTATTATGTTTCCGCGAGGAGCATCCGATCTTTCTTCTCGGTCGAAGAAACTCGCCGAGAGTATTCACACGGAAACAAAAGGCTTGGATTTTTTTCTTCCTTTTGAAGAGAAACAAAATGACTCATTCACGAAGAAAAAAGCGCACTAACGAATCGTTATTATAGAAATAGTCGAGTCGAGACTCGTAAAAGCCAATCTCAACCGGGACCCGCCTTTTCCCGATATTAAAATTGATCTTATTCGAGAGCAAAAAAAAAAAAAAAGGAAAAAAATCTCGTGCTTGCCACAGACTTTCTTCCTGCTTTTAAGAAAGATCACACGACTGGCAACGGACAAGAAAGAGAAAAACAAATTAATTAATAAATATTCTTCGGAGAAATATTTAGTACTTCTTTTTTCTATCCATTTTCTTGATCACACGTATTCAGTGATTACATTGCAAGTGGAAACAGAGAATCGTATCGTATGAGACTGTTCTCTTCCATAAAGTCAAAAATATTCAGAAGATGCTTCAAAGAACTGCTTTCTGGGGAATAAACCGCTCTCCAAATCAAGATATAGAAACCTATCTCAATCTCTCTCTTTCTTTCTCTCTCTCTCTCTCTTTCTCTTTCTCTCCCTCGAATCTTGGAAATCGTTTGACTCACCACATACACAGTGAATGTGTGTGTGCGAGAAATGGTCTGCGAGTGGACTCGAGTGGTACAAATCGATGATTAGCGTGTGTTTGCGAACAATATCAAGACGCCGCGTAAACTCTTCCCTCGGGGAAAACAGAGTGACTCATATCGATGTACAATATTTTCGGACGTACAAGATCTTCACGAACAAATGTTCTTGAAATTTTCAAGACAAGTGAATCAGTAATCAGGATCTTTCGGCTCTCGCTGTTGATGGATAAACTTGCGACCTGCTTTGACATCGTGAAGCGAAGCGACGCCGAACCACATTCACTTTTGTATTATCATGCAAACGGCCACGCGATTAGATATGACTGGATACTGAGAGTGTGCCAGGTGACGCATCAAGTTGCAACGCGAATGGTCCTAGTGCAAGCTGGGAGTCTGTGCGGTCTGATGTTGAATTTTGCTTAAAGTGATTTCAAATACGCGCGCAACAGTTCTTCTTTTTTTCATTTTCAAAACGCGTTGCGCTTAATCGCGTTCACGATAAAATGTGCGCGCGAACGACTCATCCGCAAATTTCCCACCGAAGATGTAACTCCCATATGGAGATGCGTTAATTAAAGGTACGTGAGAAAACTTCGTTACCGGATATATTGTATATACATATATATATAAGAGTTCGGAGAAGCGCGCATCGATGCGAGAGATCAATGTGTGAGGTGATTAGGCAGGTGAACACCGCGAACGAGAGTCTTCGCGATCCGCGTCGCGGCGGATGACATTCGTCTATTAATAGTCTCGCCGATTTACGTGAATAGCAATTTCGCGAGTGAGTAGCGCGCAATGTTAAAATCGTAGAGAAAATTAACGGTTCTCTTGCGAGTGGCATTTCTTTCCTGAGATAATCAAGCGCGCGGGAATCCACGGAATTCCACGAGAGCTATTTTGTTTTTCGCGATTCTTAGACATCTTTGTTCTGCAGCTTGAATGTATTTATATATAGATATAGAAATGCTCTACGACCGGAAAATGTCAAGTAGATATTTACTCGACGATCAAGTAGATAGACGGGTCAAACATCGGACAAGAAAAATTCACTTTCTCGACTAAGATAGAGAAATAATATAAGAAAATTACACATTTGAAAAAATTTGCAATTATTAATACGCGCGTGTTAACAACAAAAGCATCAACGACAGTAAGAGTTTTAAAATTCGTAATTTTTTTATATTAGACGGAGAAGCCAATTAAAACACCCATGTACATTATCTCGCTCGTAAGACCGCGCCACATGTTTCCTTAATTACACGGCACATTAACCCGTCCCCACAAGAAAGTGGCTTCTTATCCGAGAGCTTCGCGCGGTATATATGTGTATGCATTTGGCAGCTTCGACAATATCTCACACACACGCGCGCGTCCTATTCCGAGGATAATAGGATGGTGAGAAATTCAATAATAAAAATATATGAGACATGTGTGGGATCAGATGAACAGCAGACAGGCGACTTTTGAGATCCCACTTCAGAGGCTGAGTTACGATTCGTCTTTTATTGACATTGAAAGACGAATAGGTTTCTTTCTTGATTTTTTTTTATATCCGATACCATAAAGTTTTTCTTTCCCAATAAATATATGTACATATAAACGTAAATATTCTATAGTGTTATGTTGTGTGCGTACGCACATACACCCACAACATAAATAACGTGTAAATTTTTCAAACAGTAAGTAGCTTAGCGTTTTATAGTTACGTAAAAAACTTGATGTGTCTGCCTAGGTTTTAGTTTTATTTAAAATTTATTTCATCACGCCAAAATCTACTTTTTGTTATCATATCCGTCCGGCGCGTCGTTGTAAAATTTCATTAGTAAACTGAACAATAGCTGAAAATTGGTTGTTCTAACTTCGTAATGAATAATTAAAGAAGACACGACCGCTTTTATTAACTTGCCATAATTACGTCGGCGACGGGAAAATATCCGTGAAACTATAGCGACGAGCGAGCAAATTTTAATCAAATATCAAGCAAAATGAAATTCTATATACTTTATTGATATAATTTTTGTTTATTTTTAGCCGCCAAGGAGTTAATATAATAACGGACTTACCAACACTTTCGTGCAAACAAAAATATTTTCATTTGAAAAAATGTGTTCTTTTATAGTCGTGATTCTTTTATAAGACAAAATCAGTTTGTCGCGCAACAAAACGACTCAATCATCCCGACTAAATGACTGCAAATCGGCCTTGCGGATTTGACCCGGAAAATTGACACGAAGACTGATTGTATCCCGAGGTAGTAATTCGATCGCGTTTCTCACCTACTTCAAGGTTGAAAATGAGAACCACTTTGCACGCAATTTCTTCCGTCGTATTTACGAAATAAATTTGTCGTGACATTTTTAATTACAGTACGTGTTAACAACAAAATCTGGTCACAAGAATCGATGCGTCGCGCCGTCGTCACATGCGTCCTTACTTTTTTTTCACTGCTGTTGTGTACTTCGCCTGTTGTGTCGCACACGAATTGCATTGTTGTTTCGGAGAGACGACTCACGAGTCGTGCCAAAAAATCGCAACTAATTACAATCATACACGCGCTAATTAACGCGATATAGCGGTAGCGTCACTTGCATTTTGGATCGACGGTCTAATAATAATACGAAAACAAAACGAGATAGTTTCGCCCCCTTTGATCGGCTATAATAACTCAAACAGAAAAGCTGATTACAAACATGCGATTAATTACTTAAGCGCTAATACGATCGCTCGTCACTCTGAATAGACGATATGTCCGATGATCACAACGAGGAAAATCGAAACGATCGAATAATTGGAAAACACGCGACATCCGCGCCTCGCGATAATATTCTCGACACTCAAAATTTCGGACGCGTCACGCGTTTTCGACAAACGTCATGTTAACTTATACATTGACATATTTGTGACGTAAATTTGCCGCGAGCTAGGACACTAGTTCATGTTCGAAATCATCATGTCGAAAATTTGACATGAGAACATCATATCGAAAAATGATTAATTGTCATCTCAGAGAGATCAGAAAATAAATTGCAATTGCTTGTTCTCGTGTGTCTCTCGATTCTATACCTATCGCCATGAAACGTGCCAATTTAATTTCGTGAAAAAATGTGCGAGAAACGCGCGCCGAGTTATGTGACGAATGTACGAGGTGGGTACGTACGTACGTACCCACCGCAATGACATCACGTGACTAGGCAAGTTAAAAGAAGGCGAACATTGCGCTAAATGATGATAAATAACCGCTCTGCAATGTTATATGTTATATACACTCAAAAATTAACAAATACAGATGACAAAGTATTTTAATTTTGTTTCCGCATATTGTCGTTGCGCGATTACTTTGCAGCATAATTTAGAATTTTGATTTATTCAGCGCGTATGTTAGTTTTGCATATATGTAACGAGGATTTTTTCGAAATTCGACTGAAACCCGTCGTGTGTTTTGCCCGCTGCTGCTTTGGCGCCTTTATAATGCGCCCTTAATGCGACATTTTGTGAGCAAACGGCAAGAACTCGAGAACGAAGGTGGTATTATAAGTTAATTAGCGTGCGTTGATTATATTTTTAATTATATTTTTAATTATATTTTTTTTTTTTGCTACGTGAGCGGAGATTTCAAGTTTCGAACGTGTGTGTGTCGAAAAATGGATTGTTAGCGACAGAGAGAATGCGGCATCGGAAAGGCAACGAAATGGCAACGCCAATCGCGTCGTGGTGATGAGTAAATTCATTCTGTACATATTTGCGGCAATTTGCGAAGTAACACTCAATTATTTGACCGTTTATATTTTCTCTGTTCCGATAATTGGGTGTTGCCGCGTTAAAATAATTGCATAGTAACCCGCCATTTTAACGCGCAAATTCACGCATTTGTTTATTCTGTACTGTCTTGTTTTTATTTGTTAATCTTTCTTCACTGTTGTGTGGCCAGATAATTAAATCGAATACTTGAAATTCACAAAATTTCACCAAAACTCAGAAAATGGTTCTGGTTTGTATAAATAAGTGATTTGCAAATCACTCGTATATACACATGTCGAAGTTAATAAAACGTTGAAAAAACATTTATTTAATCGCCGTTTGATATCGCGATGTAATTTGCGCGCTGATTTTATGCATTTTAGAGTGTAAAAAATATATTCACTCTCAGAAAAGTATATATTGTCTTGATTTTTTTTTTTTTTTGGCGCGTTAGAATTCAACAATATGTGAGCGTTGAAGAATCACTGCAAATCCATTTCTGACGTGCCGTTTCGGAAACAAACTGCGTGACACGAATCGCACTCTATTTTTCTACTTCTCCACGTAATTTACGCACATGAGATGAAATATTTTACGAATCGATCTCTCTGACAGACATCTTTTCGTTGGGGTCGTCCTCGGTAATGCCTGAATTCAAGACACGTTGAAATCAACCAACAAAAATCAATATCACTCGAAAAGGGGGAACTTCGGATGTTATATCTTCGGTCTACATATCTAATCCAGTTAATTGAACTTTGAAAATTCGGTATTTTATGTCAAAGTAAGATGGAGAGATTGTTCTTGTGTAGTCGTTTTACTTTGGATTGTCAACAACAATATAAATTGGCTTAAGATCTTATACAGACTGTAGATATAAAATCTCTCTGACAGAGGCATCTTTTCGTTGGGGTCATCCTCGGTAATGCCTGAATTCAAGACACATTGATATCAAAACCAACAAACAAAATTCATCGATCAATATCGCTCGAAAAGGGAAAAGCTTAAAATATTATATCTTTGATATACATATCTAATCTAGTTTGTTAATTAAACTTTGAAAATTCAGCGTTTTATATATCAAAGTAAGATGAAGAGAGATGATATTTGTGAAAGTTTTGTTACCGTTTTATTTTATATATATATATATGTAGACTTTCGAACAACAATATAAGTCGACTTAAGATCTTATGTAGACTGTAGATATAAATAATGCGCTATTATGTCGCGAATAATATCTAACAGTGTTCGCAACCGAAAATTGCGACCGCTGGAAAACACGTCAATTCTCTTTTGCGAGACTGGAGAATACTTACGGGCGGTTCTTTGTAACGTCTCAAAGTTGAAGGAGAGATGTAAACTGGAACAAACCTCTTGATCTAACTTCTGTGGCTGACCACCGGCGGAAATACTTGAAAGACTGTTGAACCACACAAAAGATCGTCAGTCGCGAGCTCCTTGAGGAACTTGAGTCCTCGTCCGAGATCGCGTGAGAGTCTGACTTTTATCTCGACTTTCGAACTACAGTGCGCGATGATAATTTGTAAAAATCAGTTTTGCGATAAATACGTAATATCTCATTTATCGTTATAAATACCTATCGTATATTGATATTCGCGTGCACACACAATGCGCGCTTTTTCCCAACAAAATAATTGAATTTTATCGCCATATTGTGCACCTATACGTGCTGATAAAAGTTTTACACATCGCGTTATTTCGTTGTCAAACAATGAAAGGGATCGTTTTATTCGTAACAAATGACGCGAACGGTGTGATTATGGTAATACTATTCATTGACGACGACGAGAAAGAGAGGAAGAGAGAGAGAAAAAAG